ACAAAGAATGCGTCCTGTGAAAAATGTTTTATAACATTAAAGACCTAATTTTTTTAATTAAACTTATGTTTTCGTCCAATTAAATATAATTYGCTGATTTTGAATCTTCTGTTWGTTTTGACATATTAAAAATTAGCAAAATATAACTATGTCMAWTTAAATTTAGTGCTGGGAAAATATTATCATAATYAAAWAGAAATGCTTATATTTAAATAATATATTTGGATGTCTAGTATCAGCTTAACAAGGTGTTGAGAAATGTTTTGTAGGAGATTTGATATTATTCTATCATATTGTGAATAAAAAAACAAATGTATGGATTACTAAACAAATTTCATAGATCCTGAGAAAGCAATATACTCTACTTTAATGTGAACATAAATAAAATTACAAGATTAGTTCTGTAATCTAAACTGGTTCCMGGTTTGTTAAAAATTGTAACTTTTGTCATRAATGTAATTTTAGTTTTATATTATAAAGTATAATACAAATAATAATCAAAATAATATCTTATTCATCTGTTTCTTTTTTTATTTTTAATTACAAAGTATAAATTAAATAATAATAAATATAATATATTTTTTAATTCGTCCATTTCTTTTATATATATATATAATATGTATATAAGTTGTATCTACTATTGAGGTTAAAATGTATAACTAAATTTTTTTTATAAATTCTAGTCTATTAATTTTATTATAACCTTAATTAACTCTAAATGAACTGGAACATATTGGAGTCAAAAGTATGATGTATTCTTCTTGGGACAAACACACAATTTATAAACAATCACTTAGGTACTGCAACTGAATGGTTGGGAGTTTTTTTTTTTTTTGTTTTGCTTTTTGCAATCAACTACATACGTTTACATGTAAAACATAATTACAACACAGATGGTTGTTTTTTTTTCAACTCGATTCGACCAAACACTTTTTTCCTTTCATCAATATTGGATACATTTCAATAAAAATAAATAAATAAATATTATGGTTTTTTAATAGGGATATGAAATATATTTATAAATCCATAACCATATATTATATTATAATATCATATATTTTTATAACACATATAAATAATGTATTCCATCATATAATACGCTTTCTGGCGTTTGGAAAAATATCGAACATTTATGTCAAGTAGTAATGTACGAGTATAATAAAATTAAGATGTTATACGGATGATTTAAAGGGAATATGAAATGTGCTAATTAAAATTAAATTGAAACAACTTGAATAAGATGTATTAAATGAAAAATATATCTAAAACTGTTATTAAATCATCCAAAAATATATAAATCTATAACATTTTTGTGAACGATATAAAAAAAAAATATTAAGAGGTAATACTCGTTTCAAAATAAATCAAAGGTTTTTTTTTTTGGTACACAAGGCTCGAAATTTCAAGAAATAATTCGTACTTTTTATGAAAGAAAAAGTTGACTTCTTGAAAAAATTTTAAATGCCAATATTTCAATATTTATGAACAATTATGCTCGATTTCAATCGTTAAAGTAATTTTATTATTACAGTAAAATTATACTTAAATTAAATATTTGATAAAATAGAAATATTTTATACTTTTATTTTTTTTATAAGTATAGATTTAGACATTAATAACAGTGAGATATCAATTGAATTTACTTTCTATAAACAACTTGTAAATCTAATCATAGTACATAATGAACTTAAATATTGATAAGATTTATCTGATGCATGAATATTGTTAATATGGAAATTATAATATATTATATTAACGTTTATTGGGCACGCCAAATATTTTTAATTTGCAACACTATCTGTAGTGCTTAAAACAAAACAAGTAGATCCATATAATATAATATAWAACATTAAATTAAAAAAATATARTTTATGCATTCRCCTAAAATTATTTTTACTCTATAGGTACTATCTCATATATATTGTTCACTAAATACTATCCCAAATTTTAAGTCCTTTTCATAACTACTTCTGAAGTGATTTGATATTCGAACAAATCCGTAGAAACTACGTCTATCAATTGAATTTTGGTAACTATTATTGTTGTCTGTTTTAATTTATTTTAGTGATCTACAYGTTTTTCAACAAGTCTTCCTCCCTAAAATGACTTATACAAATAATACGTTTTGGTGTAGAGGAAAATATCATAATCATTATACTTTTGTTAGATTGATTTAAAAATTTGTAAGTCAAGTATCTTATTGAACACATTATATAATAATTTAATTGATGATTACATATTAAAATGATACCTTAAAATATGAGAAATTCATAACAATATATTAGGTACATATTTTGTAATGGATATGATTATAAATTGGATTTGTGGAGCAAAACCTTTCGCAGTTGTCCTTAAGATTATACTTTTTTCAGGAATTTCAGCTGTTATAAATGTTGAGTAATTTAAGGGAGGAACGAAAAAAATCAGTCTTAATCTGTTTCTGCATTCAACGTGTAGTGCCTATTTTTAGTTCAAAAGTGATTAACGATCTTTCGTATCCTTTAGTTAATGATCCGCAGATCTCAGTACCTTATATGTGTCACTATCATTCGAAAACAGCTGTGATATAAGAAATAAATTTGACATTTGGGATAAAAATAATTTATTTGAATTTTAATAGTTTCATYAAACTGTAACATAGCACTTGTTACCACTCAAGATTCTCTCATTAATTTTCACTATATACACTGACTTCCGGGTATCTCAATTTTAAACTAAAAGTTTAAAATCGAATTCACTTCGTTTAGTTTAAAGTATATATTTTTCATAACATTTTATTTTTAAATTATTAGAAAGAGTAAAAAAGGCAGTTGGTTTTAAAATTATGTGTTATTTTCAAGAAAAAAAAAACACTTTTTTGTGTTCTGAAAGTTTTGTACAACTCTACTTCTATCGATTTTAAAGTGGACATAGATATAGTCGAGTGGTATGTTAGAATTGCCAAGTAGTTTCAAAAAGATTGCCAAACAAATATCTAAGGTTCGGTAATTTTTTTTTATTGGAAACATTTTCTTTCACGTTTRAATTTGTCGAAAAACTTTTAAGATACCTATCTAAAAGACATACGAATTTCCAAATAAACTAGAAATAAAAGCTTAAAAAAAATTAGTTTGTAATATCAATATATCTATAATTATTATTTAGTTTCAAATTAAATTTATTCTACTGTAAAAACAAAAAAATAAATAATAAATGATAATAAAACCACATATACGTAACATTGTTTAATGTTTATGCAATAATATATTTTATGTTGATTACTATGAGGTTTATCTTCTTTATATTCTACGTTGAATCTGTCAACATACATTTTGACAGCATAAAATAAAATGTTCTGTATATTACAGTAATATTATGATTATATTATTATATACCAAAACTCTATTTACAAGATGTATTGTGTTGCACTGAAAAACAATAAATATTGTTGAACTTGAGCTGCTAATGCTGTGTACATTAAAATTTCATGCTGTAAAATATGATTGATGAACGTTTATAGATATTTTTAAGCAAATTAAAATCATACCATGCGTCCAGCTTACACTATTATTTTTATGTCAATAGAAAGTCATAGTCATTGAATGACGTCGGTTACTCTTATATTATCGAAAGAAAATAAAACTTTTAAATAGAATAAATTAGTTGTAGATAATTTGAGTCATGGTGATAGAATTTAATTTTTATCCCTGAATATTTATTAAAAATAAACAATAAATTATTTTATACTATGGTACGGATACCAATAATTTTAATACACCTAACGGATAGTAATATTGAGTAACATGTTTGCTGAATACTAGGCGTTTTAAAATAATGCTCTGTTTGTTTACCATTGACACTATATGTTCCATTGACCATTAGACTCTAAAWGGTTTTTATAAAATATTATAGGTTTTAATAAAAATAATAAAATATTGACATTATATTAAATACCTGCACGACCAAAATATATGACACTATAATATGTTCAACGTATATTTATTATAAATAACCAATGCTTTTACTCTTGCAAATGGTTTTATTTAAAAATAAAAAGATATTATAATGTTATATATTAAAATAAAAATATTAATTTTCAGTGAATTATTTGTATTACAAATAATTTTCGACATGTCCTACACTTGAGTAAATCACCTATAATTTTTTTATTCTTCTAAAACAAACTTTTTTTCGTATCCAACCTAACCTGTAGTAATGACATCTATATGATGTTTCATGATGGACGTTTCCTATTTATGCAATACTATGTATTAGTGTCGTTATGAAAATATATATGTATACGTTTCGTTGATTTTTGGGTATAAGTGACGAACGGAAATTCCAAAAAATACGCTCTACATTGAAACATTGTAATGCTATTAACAAAACTATTGGTTTTGATCCAAAATATATTATGTAGGTAGACAAAATTATGAAATTTAATTAAGGAAGAATTAATTCAATAGTATATATAATAAAATTAAAATATAAATTCAATAATAGATCTAAATAAATAGTTTAAAAATAATATATAATCAGATTAATCATTTAATATGATTATTAATTATAAATATTAACAATTATAACTAAATGCTCCACTCTTTCMATCTGGAAATACAACTTATTTATTGAATTTCCGTCGTATATAATATATTAAAAGTGAATTTAAAAATAAATATTTTTAGACAAMTGTAGCAAATCAATATTATGAACTGTCCATTTGTTATTTCTCTTTTAAAATATATACAAATTCTACTCCATGTTTTAGTTAGTGATTTAATACATAAATTATAAATAAATAATAAAAATAATAATGTGTTTAATTTTTACAAATAAAATAAATAATATCTTCAATGTTCGAAATGTATTATTATATATTCATGTGTTTTGAAACAAATACGGTATACTTATCTATAATAAAATAAAATGTAAAATATAAATTATAAAACACTTTGGTATTTTTTTGTAGAGTAAATTTTAACGATTTATACGTTTGTCATTTAATTTGTATTTCTTTTCAGATGACGTGTTTTATCATTTATGAGAGTCAATTCATCAACCAATATTTTGCCTAAACAATCTGCTGTAAGTCTAAAATTTTGATAAATAATTATATGAATATTTTTATAAACTTTGCTTGATTTTCTGAATTAATTATTAAGATAGATTGTCAACTCGACGTACACCACGCATTTTTTTTTTTTGTTAAAATCAATACGACACAACACTTTCCGTAATTCGTTTTTAATTTAATAATCCTTTCGTATTTGGAGATGATGCATTATTTCAAACAATTCGGTAGAGCATCATTTTTATGTTTCCATTTTACGTATTAATAACGTGAAACAAAATTATTAGTCGATTGGGGATCGGTCGTGGTTCACATAATCACACAATTCTATGAACAGTTATCAAAGGGTGCCTAGGTGGACTTTAAAATTGGCTAAAAACTCGTTCAATAACGATTTGTGTTAATAATAATAAATACTAGGTACTTACAATGCCTACGTCTACAAAAGATAATTCATCGAGAATTTTATCCCTATTACTGATTAGTCATTACGATAGTTGTAACTTGTAATTAAATATTAAATTCGAAATTCAAAAGTAGTGTGCTAAACACTTATGGTGAATGCACTTTTCGCGATAGACCACAATAGCATTAAACGATATCAATATTGTTGATAATAAAAATGTAACGGTCTTACATGAAAATGATTGACATTACGTTTTCATTGTTATACAAAAAAATTTTGAAATAATGAAAAAATGTACTGTCAATTTCGTGATTTTATTATTTACACACATGGAAATGTTTTCTTTTAAATATAAATATGACAATAAATTGAAGTTTTTATTTAAAAAAAATCGGTATATATAAAATGATAATATTTTCGTATAGTGACAACAAATATCAAATATAGGTTTTAAATCAACATAATATTGCAGTTTATACTTTTGTTTTATATTAAATATTGTGTAGTTTACGTTTGAAAATGTTTATTTTAATAATATTGCTTTTATTTTATGTTCATTTTTAAACTGATCATATTAAAATATACCTAAATTACTCATTATTTAGGATGGGAAAAATATAAATAGTTATAACATTATTTTCCATACTGGGTTTTGATAATATCCGCTCCTTTTTCAGCCATCATCATTGTAGCGGCATTAGTATTGCAAGATACTAATAATGGCATTGCAGAACTGTCAATCACTCTAAGTCTGTCAACACCAATGACTTTTAAGCAGGGGTCGACCACCGAGGTCTTATCGTCGATTGCACCCATCTTGTTGGTACCAACCGAATGGAAAATCGAGGTGGCCAGATTTTTAATACCACATTTCCAGTAGTCTTTTGTGCCCCACTTGCAATTCGTATCGCAATTCGGGAACGCAATCTCCTCAAAAGCGTATCCTGCATCAATCATTGGTTTCTTTTTACACATTTCAACCACAAACTCAATACCCTTCACCATCGTATCGATTTCTTCCTCACCCGACAAATAATTTGTGACTATTTTCGGGGGCTCTAGAGGATCCTTCGATCTCAATAAAATATACCCAGGTTTAGTTATGATGTTACAAATCGGTATCATCAATATTATATCACTTYGTATGTTCAACTCGTTGTATATGTTTGCCATCTCGTCAGAAAATCCAAACATGTTCTTAAACGTGTTCATTTGTTTTGTTGTATTGAACGAGTATCTAATTTTCATGATTTCGATGTCAGGGTTTCCGTTCGCACGTTTGGTATCGACAAAACTAATAAGTCCCGTTAGCCCCATTGTGCTAATACCTTTGGGAATCAAATCAAACGTTTCCTGTCTAAGCTTTTGACTTTCCGACATAATATCTTCAATTGGTCTATCCTTACGGTCACTAAGGACTAGCCCAAAATAGGCGACGTGGTCCTGATAGTTCTTTCCGACAGGAAGATCAGCCACTAAGTCAACTCCCATCTCTTTCAAGTGATCTGCTGGTCCAATTCCAGATACCATTAATATTTGAGGACTCATCACCACACCGGCAGACACTATAACTTCAAGCGTACAGTTGACGGTTTTGAACTCCCCTGATTTCGTTACAAACTCTACACCAACCGCACATTTGTTCTCAATCAGAATTCTGGTGACTCGGATGTATTTGGCTACGAATAAATTTGGTCGTTGACTATTGGGAATTAAAAAGGCTTTCAATGTACTGCACCGCAGTCCATCCCGAGTTATGCTGTCCGACATTGCGTATCCAACTGAACGTTCTATTTTGTTCAAATCTTTCACGTTGGTCAAGCCCATCAAATCTGCAGCTTGTGATATTGTTTGTATTGCAGGATCCGGAGATTGAAAAGGACTCACAGTGAGAGGCCCGCTATTTCCATGAATCTTTGCATCGTAACGAGCAGAGTCGGTAAAATTTTCAGATTTTATGAAGTATGGTAAAACGGAATTAAAACCCCAGCCAGTGCATCCATTTTTTTCCCATTCATCAAAATCGAACTTTGTTCCACGAATTTGCAACATCACGTTCATGGATGAACTTCCGCCCAACATACGTCCCCTGGGCACGTGGCACCTTTCTCCGTCTAAACCTTTGAACAAATTATCTTCTTGCTCAGTTAAAAACTTCCAATCGTACTCTGTATTCAATGCCAAACTCCATTTGAGTGGAATTTCCGATGATTCTGGAGGATCTCCACCTGCTTCCAATAATAAGATATTCCAATCTTTCACTTCACTTAAGCGAGCAGCAATTATCGATCCAGCACTACCAGCGCCAACAACTATAAAATGAATTTTTTTTTCGAATTCTCCTGACAATAGGGTAGAAGTGTAATCATTCGGATATTCGATTGAGTCAATTTTTAGAAATATCTAAGTGAACCAAATAATATCATTAAAAAAAAAAGATTTGGACAACTAAAATTTAAGTCAATATACTTACTATACTGAATAAGAAAAATAATATTTTTAGAATCATTGTCGTTTTGTTCAACACAAGTTGTAGGAATTAAAATTTGTTATGTAAAATCGTTATAATATCATAGACAAACGCACTTGGTGTGCTAAATATACGTAATGATCTGGTGAGGTAAATATTTTTTTTTTATACCAATCAATCTAGCGATTTGTACTAGGTGTTGATATATATCTGACTAGGTACACATTATGTGTTACATCTGTGTAAACTAAATGAGGTTGTGTTGCGCTGAAATATTTTAATGTTAAATTAGATTTCATGCTTTTAAAGTGCAATTCTGAAACAAATTTATTTAAATTATAATTTTTTATATATTAAATAAGATATGCTATCAACGATTCAATTGCAATTTTTACAATAAATAGTTTTTATTTTGATAACTTTTTTTCCAGGTGCACAAAAGATATGTTACAGCGTGTGCGAGATTCCAGTTTATCATAAAGTTTTGGCATAAGAAATTGGAAGGTAAGTCAAAAACTTATACAAATTATTAAAAACAAAAAACATTAGAAGGTAAATTTACGTTCATATTTCACGTTGTTGTTTTTAAAGGTAAATAAACTTTTAACACGTTTGGTGCTACATGCATTCATATGTCATATCCAAAATGATACAAAAAACGTTTCATAACTAACCCATATTATTATATTAATCTATTATTTTCTCGAGTGGACCCTTGAACTCTTGGCAATGTTTCATTATCATGGTAAATGAGATAAAAAATAATAGTAAATTCTTATATAATATTATAAATAATATTGTATTATTGCATAGAATCGTATATTATCATAAAATTAAATATAAAAATATCGTGTAAACCTATATGGATTCTGACATACACTATTTTTATAAATCCAACAACTCGTGATTTTACAATAAAATGCTTCGTTTACTTTTTGTCAAYTTATGGTCTGTTAACATTTTTTAAAGAGATATCTTTTAAATGTTGACTTAATTTATTGACTGTAATTTGTATTTATGATTCTATTGATATAAGATAGGTACTACACAGTTAGATAAATTTCTTGTTTAAATCAAACATGATGACAAGAAATAATTTTAAATCACTCCACACAACCATGGTTAAGAGTTAGGAGAAACGAGTGGAAAATAATAGCACACCAACAACTACAGGTCCACGATGTATACGTGTGGTGCACACAGCACATTTTCTATTATTGAGTCATTCATATATTATAATTATTTTTGCATCGTTCTGATAGTAATCAGACATCTTGTGTTTCGTACTTATCGTACTTATTTTATTATGACACGTGTCGCACAGTATGGCGTGTGAAATATAAAATACGGTATTATAATTATGGAGATAAAAATAATAATATTGTTGGGAACAGTCTCCTTCAGGCGCCGTACTTATTATAATATGGTAGACTAACTTACTAGCTATATTTTATAATAAACCATGACATCCAAGTATCATATACCAATAATTTTATTATTCGTGTACCTATCGTGGCGAACGGAATACGATACGACTTCACTGCTCGTATAGACAAATCTCGTCGTGGCCCGTTCGGTGTAACAATATTATGATCATGCCATCCGCCGAATAGGTAACGTACCTAACGTAGAAACTCTAATTATTATTATTCAACATATGCATTTATTGCAATAAATCTAACGTAATTTTTTTTTTTTTTGCTGCATAAATGTTTTATTTGTAAATGGTTGGCGAGAACCAATGAAACAGTTTTATTTTTATTTTTAAGGATTTATGATTATAATAAACAAATTATTAACTTTGTATACAATATTTTCAATTATCATTTCGGATTAAAAAATAAATAAATAARCGAAGAACTTGATTAATGCAATGTCAGTTAAAATAAATCACCCTCGGTATCAATAATTGTAACATAGCATGTTCGTCAGTTCCTCTCTGTTGGTTCATTGAACGGTATCAGTAAGTGTATTTTTCTTATAATTCCATGGGAATGAATTATACTTGTACGGGCCGGGAGCGTAAGATAATAAYACGCGCGCCCGGTTACCCAACTACTTCGTAGCGCACGCACACACCGACCGACCTGTGTAAATGTGTATACGTGTATATAGCGACTCAAGGGAAGTGGACGGG